ATAACTGTTAGAACTACTAATATGAGCTTACTAGTAATAGCCTACTTGAGAGACTCAAATGCAGACTGTTACTAATCATCCTATTACTAAGGAACATCTTTGCTGGTGAGATTGTGAAGGGGCCAGGTGATAGTACTAAAGCTTTGAATAAAGTGTTAGTAGTAGTTTACAAACCTAAGAAACACTTGGACCTGTTTCAGGTTCTAAGGTTGTGACCAGTTCTAAACTATAGTTACCTTTGCTGGATCCATACAGACCTCTCCTCTACTGATTACAAAGCCTAGATAATCTACTAACTTCTGTACAAAAGAGTACTTTACTTCTTAGAGAAACAGTTTATTATCTTAGAGCTATTATAGAACTACTTAGATTAGTCAGTAATAGTGCTTAACTGTCTGAGTAAAGATCAGAATGTTGTCCAGATACACACTAACATATTCTAAGTCAATCAGATCTGTAAGAATGTGATTCATAAATGACTAGAATGTTGTAAACAAGTTAGTTAGTCTAAAGAACATTACAGTCAGTTTGTACAATCTACAATTAGTTTAGAACACAGTCTTCTACTCATTTCTGTCTTAGATCCAAATATTATTGTATCCTTATTAAACATCCAACTTAGTAAAAACCCTAAATGTATGTGTCTTATTAATGAGCTTCTGAATTAGAGGGAGTAGGTACTTGTTTTTGACAGTACCCTCATTAAGACAACAATAATCCTAGACTAGATAGAGCTTCTCATCTTTCTTTTTGATGAAGAAGAAAGGGGAGACTATAAAGGACTTTAAGGGTTGGATCCAGCTATTCTGAAGATTTTCCTAAAGGAACTTGTCAAGCACCTCCTACTTGTCTCTGTTAAGTAGGTAGACCTTACAATTCTTAGGTTGGAAACTCTCAGTCAATTCAATTGTATAGTCCTAGAAACAGTATTCAGGAAGCTAGTCAAATTCTTCTTTACTAAAGACTTTAGGAAACTCTCAGACAAAATCTGGCAGGTTAGGTCTATGTGTATTCTAGAGTAGAATTGTTCTAAGAGGGTTCTGGACTGGTTCTGTCTTAGACATCCTTCAGATTAACTCTGTTCTACCTTAACTAGAATATGTATCTACATATTTATCCTAGTTGAAGAAGAACAACTAGTCACCTTTATTAGAACTGTTAGTAACATTAGAAGTGTCTGTATCTACTTAGAACAGTAGTATAAGGTAGTTACAAGACTCAGAACACTAATTGAATGTAAGTGTCTACTCTAACTAGTTAATAGTAGGGTTGTGAGTCTTAAACCATTCAAATCTAATAAAAACATCTGTCTTTCTAAGGTTAGTAACTCTGAACTCAATACTTTCCTTATAATTCTAAATAGTCATTTGTAGTTGGACAAACTTAGTGATCTGACTATTCTTGTTTAAGGTTCTGTCTACATTGTATACTAGGATCAGAAGTAGAACATATTAAGTAGGGAGGTAGTGTTCCTACACAAAGGCCTTATTAATATATGAACTAGTGTATCTACTATTTACTAGAGTTATTGTTTGAATCTGGAGGGATTCTGAGAAGAGAGTTAAGAGGACAGGGACCTAGAGCTAGTGTTTAGAATGTTCTTAAATGAACTACTGTTTGTTCTGAAGGGAATGTACAGCTTACACAGTCTTGTTGTCTGAGAGAGTAAGTATATACACTAACATTTCCTTATTAACCTCTCTCTTTCAACAAGGATAGACTCATGTCCTTAGCTGTGAACTCAGCTGAGACTATCCCTACTTAATACTATAGACAAACTACTGAGTAGTGAATAGGGCTAGGTAGTGTTCCAAACACTCTAAGATTTTGAAACACAGAAGTAGCAAGTCAGATTGTACAGATTTAAACTTGGATAAAGTGTAAAGGGAAGAATTAAAAGAATCAGAAGAAATAGGAGAACTATCTACTTTTGTTTTTGACTTTTTTCTTTCTAATAAATAATTTTGTTGATTTATTTTTTCTACTTTTTCTACTTTTTCTACTTTTCTTACTTTATTTACTTTTAATCCTACAGTGTCTATTGAATCAAAAGAAGCTATTAAAAAATCTGAGTTATAGCCCTTCAGTACTATATTCACTGTTAGGCCTTTACAAAATCCTAGAGTATGTAGTCAGAGTCTAAGAGTTCTAAAGTGACTTTCAGATTTGTAGAAAAGGCTTCTTACTACAAATCCTGCTTGTCACTCATTATTACTCTAATAACCTAATAAATATACTGTCACTTCTGTGAGCAGTCCTTAATTTAGTACTCTGACTTTCTACAGGTAAAGTATACTCCTTACTTTTAGGCTTCTCTAATGTTTATCAGAACAGATTGATTACAAATTACAGGTGGATTAATTTGAGGGCTCAGAACTGTTAGAGCTAAATGTATGTATAAGTGTTTTACACAGACTTAACACATTCAAGCTATAGCTTAGTTGAAGGAAATAGTGTGTGTCTTCTACTCAGTGTAAGTGACTAGTTCTAATATTATTCTAAGAATCTTATTAACTAGTTCTAGG